TCTGTGTTAATCTGATAAATCTACATCAATTAAAACCAGTTTATCTATATAGCGCCAATTCACAACACATGACATCTCAAGGCACTTCACAGAGACTATTTGATCAGATCATACATTCAGATTGGTTCAAAGTTTTCTAAGGAAAACCAGCTGATTCCATTGACTCATTGTCTTGACAGCAATACCTCACACCAAGCATGCATGTTGCAACAACAGAGAGGAAAACTCCCTTCTCACAGGAAGAAATCTCCAGCAGAACCAGACTTAGTGTGACCGGCCATTTGCCAAGGCCAACTAGGGTTCAAGGTGACAAAAGCAGACATACAGAAAGGAGCTGTCAACCAAATCCACAGGTGGCCCCATCCAGGAAAGACACAAACAGGCAGACGAGCTCCGAGCCAGCTCCCGGGTCACAGGATGAAAGAGAGCACATCCAGTTTGTCACAGTAAGAGAAACAGGACTACACTGAAAAACAGGCTGATCTCCAACATCTATAAACAAAGGTGTTGATGGCAGCAGCACAGCTGATATTTCTCTCCAGGATGGAGTCACAGCCAAACAGGAACAGACCAGATGAAGCTACTCAGATGAGAAATAGCAGAGAGAGCATAAAGTTAGAGGTTGAACAAACAAATACTGCAGAATTGTGGAATAAATTTAGAATCAAGCAGAATGATGAAAAGTGGTCACTATGTCCTCCAGCAGTCTAAGCCGGTATCAGCATAATGAAAAGTATAGTTCAGGATATCCTGAGCATTTCTAACTATAAGCTTTATTCAAAAAGGAAAGTTTTAAGCCTTGCCCTAAAAGTAGACAGGGTGTCTGACTAAAGCTGGTGGTTCCACAGGAGAGGAGCCTGAACTAAAAGATTTACCTCCTATTCTACTTTGAGAAATTCTAGGAACCACTAGTAAACTTGCAGATTGAGAGGGAAGTGCTCTATTACAGTAGGAACATAAGGAACAATCATATGTCTGATATAAGATGGAGTTTGGTCATTTAAGACTTTAGATGTGAGTGTATTAGAAGAAAAGAAAGGCCTCAGAAGAGACAGATATATCCCAAAATGCTTTGCACGAGGAGCTCTCCTCGCAAATTATGGGATTTGCGGTCACAGCTGTAGCTATAGGCTGTCGCTACTCGACAGCTGCGACTAACAACAAATATTGAGCAGGCACCGCATTGAGTTACATGACCAACAGGGTAAACAGCAGTGATTGTCTGTCGGAATGGTCAGTTAACTGAGTTTGCTATAAAATCTACTATATAGTCCACGCTGTATATTCACACAGGAAGCTTGTATGAGCTATGAGAACAGCAAGTTTTAAATAGAGCGTGCACAAGGAGAAATGGTCTTCTGCATGCTCTTGCACATGGTGCAAGGGTGGGTGGGTCTTTTAAAAAATGTGCAAAAAACCTTCACCATACCTTTAACGTGAACAAACCTAACGTGAACCAAAAAAAACCTAGAGTAGTTCCCTTAATTCCTGCACAAATATTCAAGTCTTGTAAAAGAATATTATGATCAACTGTATAAAATGCAGCACTAAGATCTAACAGGACAAGTATAGATATAACGTCATTGTCTGAGACCATGAGAATATCACTTGTGACTTTCACCAGAGCTGTTTCAGTGCCATAATGAGCTCTAAAACTAAATTGAAACTATTCTAAATGTTTTTAAGCAACTATTTTCCCCAAGAATTTTATATAAAAAAAATTAAGATTTGATATAGGTCTATAATTGAACGAGTCATCCGGGTCAAAAGACAGTTTGTTAAGTTAAGGAATATATACAGCTACCTTGAAAGCCTGATGTACATATCCCTGTAACAGGAAGGTTTTTTAATTTCTAAAATAGAGGTGTAAATCAGGGAATACTTCCTTAAATAACATGGTTGAAGGTGGATCTAACATACAAGCTGAAGGCTTAAATGAAGACAATAATTTTCCTTGCTCTGAAAGTTCAACTGTATCAAAGCAGTCTAAACAAGATTCAGATTCTATAGTTACCTCTGCTGCTGCCTCACCTTCCAGAAATAAACAATCACAGAGGGGTGCTAATGATCTTATTTTTAATAGTCATTACTGCTAAAGGCAGATGGGATGGATGGTTCAACAGAGCTATGGCTCTGGGTGAGTTTGGCAACAGTATTAAAAAGAAATCTAGGATTATTCTTATTCTCCTTTAATAATTAGGAGAAATATGTCTCTTTGGTTTTACGAAGGGTAATTTTATACAGCAGTAAACTATTTTTTCAGACTACGGAGGATTCCTATAAGCATATAGAGTGCCAATTTCTCTCCAGTTTCCTATTATTTGCTTCATAGTGCGCAGCTCTGTATTAACACGGGGAGCCATCCTTCTATTTTTTATTTAAAAATTTTTTAAATATTTTTTTCATTTTCAAAGTGGTTGTCTAAGGCAGTATGCAGAGAACTAGTAACGGAATCAACAAAATCAATAATTTATGAAAGGAAAACATTTTTATGTTATGTTTACATCTTTATTAAGAAAGAAAAACCAACCTTAAACAGAGGGGATGGACTCCGATTTCAGTTTTCAAAGAACGAAAATGTAGCGATTGAGTTGATTCCTTCCCGCTATCATCGCAACACCTACCCCATTACAGGCCACTTCAGCCAGGCCAAGAGTACCCTTTAATGACCCCCTTTCATAGACATAGACAGCTTTCGGGTATTAAAGGCTAACAAAGAAACATAACGACCCCCATTCCAGAGGGCCGGACCCGCTCGTCAGGTTCAAGTTGCATGTTTCTTTTTGGAATGACCTTGTCAGTATTTAACACTAAATTAAATAGGAACTCTAAAATCTGATCTAAAAACTGAGAATAAAGACCTAGTGGATGATACAAAGTAAAAGAAAAGAAAATGTTTTGTTGCTTTTGCAATCTGCATGAGGAAAAATAAAGGTTAAATATTTAAAAGAGTTGTAGTTATTAAATTGCTTTGGACTAATAATTGATTCAGCCTGAAAGATTGTTGCCACTCCTTTTCACCCAGAGCTTCTGGGTATGTGAAAATTTAAATTACTGGAAGAGGTTACCTATAATCACATAATCCCCTTGCTGCAGCCAAGTTTCTGTAAGACAACATTAATCAATTTGATTATCACAGATAAAGTCATTAACTAGTAAACTTTTTGGAGAAAGGGATCTTGTTTTAAACAAACCACATTTAATCATTTGAACTTTTTCCCCAATTGGAATCATTTTAATGAGATTGTCATGATTTACTTCTTTAGGATTGTTTTCTAATTTATTTGATTTTGATCGTGGGCAAGACACTGTCTTGATGGAGTAATGAGTGCGTAGCAGAAGAGAAGCTGCAGATAGATGTGTTGGAGGACTAATAAATTCATCCAGATTCCTAGAAAGAAGAGCTGCACCATCCAAAGTGGGGATTGATGCCGTCTCTATGAATAAGACCAGGCTTTCCAGGACTAAGATTGCAATTATCAATGTAGATCACATTGTTTTCAGGACATCACCTAGACAACCAGACGACATGCGGTTAAACATTTCATCACTGGTCTCGATCAGGTAGAAGCCCAGAGAAAATCCAATGTTGGAGTTCTACATTCTTTTGGAAAACTTATGTCGGGAAGAAACACTAAATTTAGTGACCTTCTATCGGCGTAACCGGCAGCGTGAATAACAATCTTACTGTATTGAACATTATCCTTAGCCGGCAGTTTAAGGTAGGATTTCATATGGCCTGTTCTGGCCCCTGCAAGCCTTTGTCTCTGGTCCCTCATGTCTACCGCACTTATAACAGATAACATTATCGCTAAAGGAGGCAGAGGAATCAATTCAATTTCAATTCAGTTTATTTATATAGCGCCAAATTCACAACACATGTCATCTCAAGGCACTTTACAGTTCAACCAGATCATACAGTCAAATTGATACAAAGTTTTCTATCTAAGGAAAACCAGTTGATTGCATTGACTCATTGACTCAAATACAATCCCATCACTAAACATCTGACCCAGAGAGCAGGAGAGAAGAGAAGGAGATTTAGAAAGAAGTAAAAAATCATGGTAAAGACTCATTCCCAGTGTATTCTGTATGTTTTAATGCTTTCTTTCTAGCTCATTTAAATAGTTAGAAAATAGTTTAAAGATTTAACTCCTGTAGGGGTGTAAATAATAATCGTTTTGTATCGATGCATCGATCCAACAGCCGATCCGATGCATCGTCTCATCTGCAAGAGAATCGATTCATGTTTTTTTTCTTTCTCCGGTCTTTTTTTATCCATTTGCTCCTGGGCGTTATTCTCCCTCCTGTGCTGCGGTGGCGCTAAACCTATTTTGCCCTCCTACCTCGCTTCCTGGTTATACTCTTACAGCAGTGTGTTGCAGCAAGCTTCACACAGACATTTTTAAATTATGCTCAATATTGAAGCGTGGTCTGTGCTACACACTGTGGGTCTAGATACGGCCGAGGCGGCGAGGAAGTGGGGGCGAGTTTAGTCCGAAGACGGAGGGACATGAGGGCCAAAAAGAGCGGAGATCCAGGTGGAAAAAGGGTCCCAGCGTTCTCGCGCGCCTCACTCTTTTAGCGGGTCAAATTTCACGAGTTGTTTTCCGCAATTTCGGTAATAAAAACAAAACAAGCCGGCCTCCTGTCTGCTGCACTGTCTGCGGTCAGCTACAATCTGGGAGAGGAGCAGCGGAGCGTCTGAGGAGGGGGGCGGGACCTCTGGAGCCGAGCATTGCATTGCACTCATTGCATTGATTATATGCAGTATTTTTTTATGCAACTTTTCTACTTCTGTTATTTGCTGTTGTTTCTAAAAAAAAAATGCATAACGATATTACAGCTTTCATTGATTTATTTCAAACTTGAAACTTTGTTTAGCCTGTAAGGTGTAAAAAAAAAAAAAAATTAATCGAATCGAATCGAGGTGTATTCTTGAGTATCGAAAATAATCGAATCGTTGGGTCAGGATATCAATACTGAATCGAATCGCCATCATGGGTGTGATTTATACCCCTAAACTCCAGTAAGAAGCGGATGATTCCTCGCCTTCTTAAACAAACTCAAACGACCTCGCTGGTCTGTTAATCTTCCTGACAGTTTGCTGTTGTCACTTTAATTGACCCAGGCTTGGCTCCAGCAGAGTGAAGTTTCAGCAACAACAGAGGCTGTCCAAGGTATGCAGTCCAGTCCCGTCAGCCTGCGGAGAGCTTAGATGAATGAGAAGTTAGACAGAAACAGAAACCTACGACGGAGTGAAAGCTGAAACTTTGCTGCACGGCCCAGCTGTTGTTTTAGTTTGGACCTTTGGATCGACTGCATGTTTTATACAGCAGTCGTTTCCAGGGAATGTGAGGGTCCGCTCCAGCCTTTCGAAGTTTTTGAGCAGTTTTTTTTTCTACCAGTGATGTGTCAGATCAAATCTGGAGTATTGTGTCCTATTCTTAGCCCGCGGGGCAGTTGCTTGTCTGTGAAAGGCTCGCTGCAGGGGGGGGAGAGGAGGCTTTATTTTATCTTTGATGCCGCCTTAAGAGCTACAGTACAAGACATCACCCTTGCATGTCATGATTCTCAGCAGTGCAGCTCATGCCTCTCGGTGGCAATGATCCAGATGCCTTTGGAGATCCACTAAAGCCTGCTTTGACATTTGAGATGATAAGAAGGCGCAGTCCCTCAGATCCTCTAACAGACTCTTAGAGATAGTCCAGAGAGACCAGACATGATGCAGTGCTTTAGACTCCCATCTATGGAGAATTATCTAACCGTGTGGGTCTCGGACTAAACCCTGCTCAACCCATATGTCCTCGTTCAACTCTGTCATCCATTATCAGCTTTGTCATGCATTTTTTAAAAAGTAAAGCTATGCATTAAGAGGCTATAGAGGTGCAGCCACGTGACGTTGAGAGGAGCTACCGCACGCTTTGGTCTCCATCCGGTTAACAGAAGAGCTGCACGGCTGTTTGAAAGTTGAGCTTAAAACTTGGATAATCTTAGAAGTGAACGTAAAAAGGGTTTTGTGAAGATAAGAGATCTGTTCTTTTTATTTCGGGAGGTTCAGTCACCGTTTCACCACAGGATATAATTCCTTTTTTTTCTTTCTCTTTGTCCAATCATAGTTTTAACCTCATGTAAGACCGTTTACGATGGCGGCAGCGTCTTTATGTAACAATAAATGCCCAGTCGGAGCGTGTCGCTGACTGCTGTCCTCCCACCTCAGCTGCTTGCTGAGCCGATCCCCGCTGCAGGGCAGAGATAAACGCATCTATCAGTTTAGTTTTTTCAGTTTGTCCACTAATCATAATATTTTTTTTCCCATCATCATATTCTGTTATTCAACATGACACTTCAGTTAATTAAGAAAAAATATATATTTGGACTAATTTCTAGTCTTCAAACCTTTAAATGTTCCTTTATTGCTTATTGTTTACATTATTTGTTATGTCTTACTTTATGAATGAAAACATGTAAAATATTTATTTAAAATTTAACTATTTTATTACTTTTATTATCTTTTATATTAAAATACTGAAAATAAAAAAATGTAAACAAAATGTTTTCAGTGTCTAAAATTGTTTCCATCCATTTTCAATCATGCTTATCCCTAAAAATGATCTAGAATTTCTTAAATTGAGTGTATTTTCCCCCTTATTTGAGTAGGTAAATTAAATAGTTTGCCAATGGAAGGAGTATTTTTAGTCACTTGAAATAAGACAATGCAATTGTGTTTTCTTATTTTAAGTGTAAATTGTCTTGTTCCATTGGCAAAGTGTCTCTTTTACCTCCTTGATACAAGAACAAATGCATTTATTTTAAGAAAAATTGACTTATTTAGATTTGGACTTATTTGGAGATAGTGCTGGCGCCTATCTCCAGCTGTCTATGGGCGAGGGGGGGGTCCACCCTGGACCATTCCAATTTAGACAAACTAATTCACATAACAGACATGTTTTTGGACTGAGGGAGGAAGCCGGAGTACCCGGAGAGAACCCATGCATGCACTGGGAGAACATGCAAACTCCATGCAATAAGACCCCGGGCCGGGAATCAAACCCGAAACCTTCTTGTTGCAAGGCAGCAGTACTAAACCACTGCTCCACTGTGCAGTCTTTTAAAAATGTTTTAATATTTACAAAGGTTTTTATATCTTTTTAGTCATGCTTGTTTTTTTCTATAATCCGATATTTTCAGCATAAACATCCATTTAGTCATTTGAAGTAAAATGAATTTACTCATCTAGCTTCACAGTAATCTCACACATGAATGAAACAGTGGATAAACCCCACTATAACTCTTATAAATTGATGCTTTTTAACCATATTCTGTGGTTTATTCACCATATTTCATTGTTTTCATAAAAATTGTGCAAATTTAAATTGTTTGATTTACTTGTTTGTTTTTTATTTCCGCTTACATGTCGATTTTTTCCCCCTTAGGTGTGACTTTGTTACACCGTATTCTGTGACCCTTCTCATATTGTAGCATGAAGTCATGTTACAAGCTGTGAATTAAGCTTGTTAAAACCTGGTGGTTTTAAGCTTATTTATGACAACAGATCCACTGTATTTATTGCGGGTGCAGCGGGCCATGCGTCCATCATCTGCATAAATGTCATAGATCTGCGCGCACAGATTGACAAACCAGAAGCACAGTTTATTAAAGCATGAGCACAGATTTCTACCAGCTTGGTTTTGTTTTTCACCCATTGACACTTGCTGGGCTCCTTACTTATGTGATGGATGAGGATCAGCTGGCAGAGGCTGTGAGAAAATATGAACATCTGTAATATAAAGCATTTATATAACACTCTCCCCTCCCCCTTATCCATCCAAAAAGGTTGTTTTTGGAAGCCATGGGAGGTTTTAGAAACTTTTGTTCTGGATTCAGTCTGACTCAACTCCAGCGGTTTTGCAAACATTTTTAGCAGCCAAAGTTTTAGAAGTGCAAGGCTTGTAAAAGTACTGAAACACTTCTCTAACTAAAGGACGGCAAACGGACCTCCATGCAATAAGGGCTGTATGATGTCTTGTTCTCTCTTTGCAAATATGAAATAAAATGCAGACTGATTGAAATTAAATGTACTAAAAAAGGATTATTTCACTCTCTTAGGAAAAGATTAGCCTCGTGAGACCATCCTGATCTCGCAAGCTTTCAGAATCAGAATCAGAAATACTTTAATAATCCCAGAGGGAAATTACTTTTGTTACACGCTCTAGTTACAGTTTTACATGATATATACACACATCCAACTATACAATATAATAAAGATAAAAAATAAAATAAGAATAAAAAGAGATATATATACACATATAGCTCTTATGTATATATATCTGTAGGTTTCACTCGCAGATCAGTCTGGAGAAGATTTGGAGCCGTTCACCAAACGAACGTCCAATCAGCGTTGGCTTTGAGGCGGGTTGAGGTGTGACGCAACGAGAAGCGCGACAGTTCAGTCTAAAGAACATGGCGGCTTCAGGCGATGAAACTAGCGTTAGCGTGGCTATCGAGAAAGTTTTATCAGAATTACAGAGTATTTCTTCACTGAAAGAAGAGCAAAACACTGCTCTGGAGGCTTTTCTCAGAGGAAAAGATGTTTTTGCTCTTCTCCCGACTGGTTTCGGCAAGAGTTTGATCTATCAATTCGCTTGTGCCTGGCTTGTGGTTGTGTTTTTGTCGTCGCTCTGTTAGTACGTCATATGCTTCGTTGATCTGATTGGTTTATTTGGCCCGTCTATCACCAACATAGGCCAATCAGCTAACCAGTATTTTCGCCCCTTCCCAAAATTACTTCAACGGAAGGTTTCCAGATGGATATGCGGAGCAAATCCATCTGGCCGAGTCAGGTTAGGAAAAGATGCCACTTTGAGTCAAATCCTAAGAAATTAAGTATTTATTTGAAAATGTACCGTTTTAGTTAATAAACTCATAGCTTTTATGTATTTTAGTTGCATATTCCAAACCACATCCAATAGATGTAGAAGTCTGTAGTGTACAGTAGCTGAATGTTGAATAAAATGAGAGGAAAAAAACTGATGTTGGAAAAACTGTAAATCAGTTTTTATGTTTACATTTGATCACTTTAACACTGCAAAAACAATCTAGAAATAAGTAAAAAATTACTTAAAGTAAGTGTATTGACCCTTAATTTGAGTAGGTATGTAGATTTGCTTGTGGAATGAGTATTTTTACTCTTGAAATAAGATAGACAATGCAATAGTTTTTTCTTATTTTAAATGTAAATTGTCTTGTTCCATTGGCAAAGTGTCTCACTTACCTCCTCAATCCAAGAAAAAATGCACATATTTTAAGAAAAAAAGACTTATAAAGATTCAAATGTTTTGCAGTGAAGAAATGGAAACTGAGAGCTGTACTGAAGGAAATGTCATTTTGTATACACCCTGTGTGTACAGGGTTCAGTTTATTTATATAGCGTCAACTTTACAATTCACCAGATCATCAGTCAGATTCACACTGGAAAAAAATCGAATCTAGGTAAGTAATTTTTTCTTAAAATAAGTGTATTTGATCTTGGATCGAGAAGGTAAAAGACACATTTTGTCAATGGAACAAAATTATTTACATTAAAATAAGAAAACACAATTGCCTTATCTTATTTCAAGTGCACATTATCTAATTATCTTATTTTAAGAGTAAAAATACTCATTCCATTGGCAAACTATCTCATTTTCCTACTCAAATTAAGGGTAAATACACTTAATCTTAACTATTTATAGATCGTTTTTCCAGTGCATTCAAAGTTTTCTATCTAAAACTACCTAGATAAATTACCTAGAAAATTACCTAGAAAATTACCTAGAAATTACCTAGAAATAAGTAAAAATTTCTTGAATTAAGTGTATTTACCCTTAATTTGAGTATGTAAATGAGATAGTTTGCCAATGGAATGAGTTTTTGTACTCTTAAAATAAGATAAGTAGATAATATGCCCTTGAAATAAGACAACGCAGTTGTGTTTGCTTATTTTAAGTGTAAATTGTCTTGTTCCATTGGCAAAATGTCTGTTTTACCTCCTCAATCAAAGAACAAATGCACTTATTTTAAGAAAAAATGACTTGTATAGATTTAGTTTTTTTCCAGTGTAAGGAAAACCAGTTGATTGCATCGACTCATTGACTCGAATGGAATCCCTAACATTAAGCATGCTTGTAGCGACAGTGGAGAGGAAAAACTCCCTTTTAACAGGAAGGAACCTCCAGCAGAACCAGGCTCAGTGTGAGCGGCCATCTGCTGAGGGAGGTGGGCTGCCGTTCAATTCAATTTCAATTCAGTTTATTTCTATAGCGCCAAATTAACAACACATGTCATCTCAAGGCACTTTACAGTTCAACCAGATCATACAGTCAAATTGATACAAAGTTTTCTGTCT